GCCGGCGCCGCGCTACGAGGAGCCGCCGTGGGGCGCGCAGCCGCCGGCGGACGCGGGCTACGCGCTCGAGGTGCTCAAGGGCGGCGTGTCGCGGGGCGCGCTGCGCCTGGCGGGCGGCAGCTGGTTCCTGGTGGGGCGGCTGCCGGGCTGCGCCGTGCCGCTGGAGCACCCGTCCGTGTCGCGGCACCACGCCGTGCTGCAGTACCGCGGCGCCGGGCCCGCCGGCTTCTACGTGTACGACCTGGGCAGCACGCACGGCACCTTCCTCAACAAGGCGCGCGTGCCGCCGCGCACCTACTGCCGCGTGCGCGTGGGCCACGGGCTGCGCTTCGGCGGCAGCTCCCGCCTCCTCCTGCTCCAGGTGCGGCCCCGAGGCGGGGAGGGTGTCCCTGCTCCCAAGGGGCCCCGGCGCCTCTGCTGACACCCCCCCCCGGGGCTGCCCCCCGGCAGCTGCCCCCAAAGGGAGCTGCTGGTGGCCCGGGTGAGGTGTGGGGAAGCAGAGTGGAGGTGTTTCCTCGTGCTCAAGGGGAGCTTGTCCCAGGAGGGGCTTGGAAAGTGCTCGCAGCGCCCTTGCAGGCTTTGGGTGCTTGTTCTGTTGAGCTCCTTGTATGTGATCTGTGAACCTATGGGAAGCTTTGCGTTCTGCCTTTAAATGCAGGTCRAGTTGCCTGCCTATAGGCCTGGTACACAACAAGGCTTGTTTCCTTCCCGCCACTTTGGACAAAGTGATAAAGTGAACGTATAGAGAGAGGGGAGCAAATAACAAATAGTCCTAAAATTACCTTTTCTTTTGGGAGTGATTTATTTGGGTTATTGTACTTTTGTATTGTAGTATTTGTAGTGCCCAATRCATGCCTGGGGGAAAAAAACATTTATTTTTAAAACGTTTCTGTGACATTTCTGACTTGTCCTGCGTAGGGACCAGAAGAGGACCAGGAGTCCGAGTCGGAGCTGAGCGTAACTGAGCTGAAGGCCCTGCGCAAGCAGCAGCAGGCCAGGCTGGAGAAGAGGATGCTGGGGGAGGACTCTGACGAGGAGGACGAAAGCGAGGAGAGGAGAACGGAGAGCAGCCAGAACAGCGACATGAGCTGCTCCTGGGGAATGGGTGGGTGACAAGGCCTCCCACTGTAAACGCGCCGGCTGCCGGTGTAGCCTGGAGGAGCTTTGTTTTGCTGGTTCCAAACCAGGTCTTTGTGAACCCGGGGTTTGGAATTTGACCTGAATGCTTGGTGTCCACATCCAGTTGAAGGCCTATAGTACCAAGTAGTCCTTTTCCTTTTAAAAAGAGGAGGCAGGCTTGTATTAGATAAGAATTATTCCTTTGAAATCAGGGAGAAGGTAATTTGGCCTTTCAAACAATCTGAAACTAGGAGTTGAGGTTTATGCTATATRTTGTTTCTCTGGGATGATATGAAAGAGAGTTTAATTACTTGAGACAGCTGTACAATAAAACTGTCTTAAAGAAGTTGACTTCTTAAAAAAAGTTAGGGAAACCATAATTGATTAAATTTTGTTTACAAAATGAGCTGCTTTTCTAAGTAGAAATTAATCTGCAAAGATTATATTTTATTATGGAGTAATTAATAATGAAATAATTGATGGGATGTAGAACAAATATTCTCCTTAAGGAAACTTATTCTAGAATGCTGTGGCTTTTGTGGTATTATTTCAACCTGATAGAAGTGTAAAGTTTGTTTACACTTTATATATTGTCTTCTAGGGGAGGATGCTGAGGAGGATGAGGCTGAAGAAAACCCTATTGCTATTGAATTTCAGGAGGAACATGATGCCTTCTATATGAAAGATCCTAGGAAGGCCCTACAGGGCTTTTTTGACAGAGAAGGTACATGTTTGGTGTTTGTTTCTCTCCTTCTTCCTCCTTTTTTTTTTTCCCCTATTCTTTTCCTCTTCATTTCAGGAATATCTGGATTTTTTATTCTTGTTTTTCTTCAGGATTTAAAGTGTATGAACTAAAGCTTTGCTGTTGTGCTACCATTGTCCATGTCCCCTTACTCACCATTGTAGAGCTGAGTTCCTTCATTTTAAATGAGTAGTTGCAGGGAACAGCTTGAATTCCTTTTATCTTTTAAAGCCATATTTTAAAAATCAAAAAAAAAAAAAAAAAAAGAATTCCAGATTATTCCATTTAGGAATAGCTATGATTGAGACAGAACTGAAAAGTATTGAAAGGCAAATGCAAATAATGAATTGGATTATACTTTCCGTGGTTGTTAGTGAAGTTTTGATATGACTCAGGTATTTGCAAAAGTGAACAAACAAACCATGTCTGTGAATCCAGATTGTAAATTGTTATTTCTTCCGGAAGTTTTATTTTAATGCATGCAGATGCAAGGTTGTTGGGTTTTGTCCTGTGTATTTCTGAGAAAGTCACTCAAAAACGAAAGAATTATTTTAGAAATCTCTGAAAAGCTTTGATTAATGGAAAGATAGCTAAATGGACATTATATATAATCTTCAGATGATAAATCTAAAAAMAAATTTACTCCTTTGATATGAGCATCTTATTTTGTTTGGTAAAAACAACATTTTTGTCTGCTTTAAAACTTGTTCCTGCTTACTGCAGTTTAGGTAACAGCAACAACTTTCTTTTTTTTCCTCCCTAGGAGAAGAGCTGGAATATGAATATGATAATCGTGGGCACAATAGCTGGCTATGCAGAGTCAAGTATGCTTACCTTCATTGACATGTGGGCTTAGAGGGCAGTTTGGAATTCACAAGCCAAAGCTGACGGAATTATTGGTGCATCTCGTTTGCCAAGGAAGCCAACTGGAGTTAGTCCTGAGCCCTGATATTGAATAAGGAGGCCAAGGATCACTGCCATTTTCAATGTCTGCACTAGTTTCTTCTCTGACTGGTATTCCGTAGAGATGAAAATCAGGAAAGCAAGAAAAACGGTCCCCAGAGAGAGAGAGATAAAGACATGTTTTCTATATACACACATATGTATGTGTATATGTAATATTATACACACACATTTTTAATTCTACAGTGTACCCAATTGCTATTCTTAGGTACTAAAAGCAATTTTGGAGGTATTCCTACAAGAGGTCACTAACATCATCCTCTCATTAGGTAGGAGAAAGAGTAAGGTAGAAATCTAATCAGGTAGATATGTCTTTGTTGTGGCTGTACTGCTTTAAGGAAATGCTTAAAGTGTTGATGCTTATAATAATTTGAGGATTGAGGTTTGACCTGTTAACTGTCATTTGTAGAGAAATGAGTGGATATAGATACAGGAAGTCTGTTTAAGCCAGCGAAAGAAAAATTTGATTGCATGTTTTCTGAAATCTGGACCTGTGTTTTGACTAGTCCTATATGAAAGRAAAGATGAAAATGCTTAATCTGGAAGAGGCTAGACTGATACAAAAAGAACAATGTTACTGTAACAAACACAGTATCTAAGTAGGATCCTTGAAAAGCTGSTCATATTGAAGCTCTTTTCTGAAACTTTGCACTGAACAGATTGCCTGTGGATGATGCATCAGGGAAGCAGCTGGTGGCAGAGGCTCTCCACACAGGCAAGAAGAAGGAAGCAATGGTACAGTGTGCACTGGAAGCCTGCAGGCTGCTGGATGCCAGGGGAGTGCTGCGGCAGGAAGCAGGTGATTAACCAGGCAAATACCTTGCTGGTTCTCGAAGGCCTAAACTAGTGATCTGAGATTGTTGTCTTGAATATGCTTTATTTCTCCGTGGTCTGTAGTCACTTTGTTCCTCGTGTTCCTCCTCACCTCTCCTAGTATCCCGCAAAAGGAAAACAAAGAACTGGGAAGATGAGGATTTCTATGACAGTGATGATGACACTTTTCTTGATCGAACTGGTGCTGTAGAAAAGAAACGACTCAACAGAATGAAAAAAGCTGGTAAAATAGAAGAAAAACCAGACACCTATGACACTCTGGTAAGAAGAATTGTTATGACAGGCCGGTCTTATTCTCTAACATGCACATAATTGCTGAGAAGGAAAACATTATCCTGTATTTTAGTTAATCATTTCTAATCCTCAGCTATCAATTGGTCAAGTTAGAAYAGAATCAGGCTAGATTTGGTGATTGTAGACACAGAGACTTTAAGCCTTTGAGAATGAAAAGTGAGAGGTAGAAAAAAAAAACTCTTTTTTTTAATAAAAAAAAAAAAGTGGTATTTCCACCTAGTACTTGCTCAGTGTTCAGCCCACAGAAACCATCAGTCTGACTGCAGCTAACTGACACACATCCATTACCTTAAGCAAAGAGGATGACTGATCATGGAGAATGAATTACTGTGTTACCAAGAGCTGTAACTGCTTTGGGCCGAGTCATCCTTCAAAAGAAGTATCCTGCAGGTGCTTGTGTTGTCTCCTTGGAAATGAAGATCTCAGTCCTTGAGGTTCTGTCACCARAGGACTTTGCAACTGTGAAAACTGCTTTTTGCTTTATGAGAAACATTTGCTTAAATACCCAAAAAGGTTGCTCATTTTCTTACAGTGTAAGCACACTAACTGGATGTTTGTCTGTGTAGTATGCCCTTCTGTTTGATGGATCATAGCAGAGGATAAATTGAGTATCAGAACAAGAATTGTTTTAAAGCGTCTGAAAATACTTGCAAGAATTCAAGTGGGTAAAACCTTCCCAAGCAGGATCTCATCCTGCTCCAGAGAAGCAGCGGCTTGGACTGACGGGGATTTGAAGCCAAGAGTCATACACAGACAGTGGGGTATTGGAGAAGGGGTTTTTTTGGGGGTGGAGAGGAGGGTGGAAATCAGGGTAGTGGCCTAATATAGATGCAGAAGCAATATGCATATTTTCATGCTTCAGCATTTGCCCATTRTAGGAAAAGAATGTTCATAAAGAATTTAGCAATGTAGCCTATAAATGTTTTAGCCCAGAATCTCCTGGCCAAAGATCAAAAAATAAAAAAGTAGAGGTAAAGTGGTAGAATATTTGAAGATCTCTTAAAAGGGGGTTTTAAAGATGATAAAAAGATCTAAGCATATGGTTCTTTCATAGGTCAGAAAATTAAATGAAGCTGAAAATGAGCTTTCTGAGATAACAGCAAAGCTGAAGGCTTCAGGGAAAGGTAAGGCATGAAGTCTCTTTGATTGCAGTGCTTTTCATAAAGACTGGAGAGATGAAAATATATTTTGTGGATGTCTGTCTTAAATGCATCTTTTTAGTGCCCTCTTTTCTCAAAAGAAAAAGCTTTGCAGGTCACTGAGTCAGCTGAGGAGGACACTTAACACTGTATTGGGTGAAACGTGTGTGTACTGTGTGTATAGACACTCTCTAATGAATGCAGAGTTTTCTGAACATCAAAGCAAAGGAGGAGGGTATACATGAACTTGGAGCTTAATGGGACCTGAGTATTTATTACCATTTATCTGTCCGTTTTAGTGAAGCTAAACCAATTTGAGAGAGATTTTTTTTTTCTCATTCCCTCCAAAGCTGTTTATAAGGGGRRGGCAAACAACTGATAAAGACAGTATCTTTCATTTCATTTCTTTTATTGTCAGTGCACCTTTARAAAGAAAGATGAGAAAAGAGAAATGTAGAGTTAAAATGGTTGATACTTAGCCCCTGCCCCATTCAGTCAAGGTGCTAACTTACACAGCTGCCCTCCAGATTCTAGCATTGTGCCTTTTTTGAATCATAACGGTGATCAAAAGGATAATCACTGCAATGCTTGCATCCATCCTACTTTGGTTAGCATAATGTTTACTGGAGATTAATTATTAAGAAATTATTAAGAATGGAAATTAATTATTARGAGTAAGAAGAGTACTCTTCCCTCTTTCCATTTGTTTCTAGGAGCTCTTCAGTACCCTTTAGTTTAGGTGATGTCAGCGGCATATTCTGATGCACTGCCTTGATAAGGTGAGGGAGGATAAGAAGTTTGTGTCCCGCACGAACATCTGCCTGAACTGAAGTAATATTGCCAAACTTCAGGCAGAAAACTGGTCTTGGTGATCTCATGGCRCTCTTTTTTAGTATCAAGGTTGCTTCTCATCACAGCATCTAAATACTGGCATGAAAAGACAACAGACATCTCCATATTCTGACGTAGAACTGTTACATGAGAATGCAACAAGGATTTAGGAGAAAAAAAAAGGTATTTCCACCATGCCATTCTCCCCTCAAAAAAAGGGTTAGTTAAAAGGAGGTTGAAAGCTTGTGAATAAGGGAATAGATTTCAGAAACATTCAAATACAGTGTTCCTGTATGTATCTGGTAGTGACAGCTTCAAAGGTATGCTACACAGAAAGCTGCATGTCATGTTACATATTGATTCCTTGTGGGGGTAGGAGGGCACRAAGGAAAATATATTTAAGTTGATTCTTCATACAAGAAGCTTTTGTAAACAGAGATAGCAGCAATAAAGACAGCARTGTCAGTTTGACAGTAAGACTTCCTGCCAAGAAGCCTGGCAGCAATCTGACAGCTGTGCTCTCTTGTGCATTTATAGGTACGTTTTTTGTAATTCAGCCCTATGCCAAAACTCGCGTGGATCAACGTTTCTGTCGATGATTGATTATACCAGATCACTGTTCAGAAAGCTTACTGATCCTAACTGATAGGATGGCTCAGCGTCATTGCAGGAATTGTTTTCAGCCTGGTTTTAAGTAGATAAGTGGTTCATGATTAACTAGCAGGAAAAGCTAATGCTTTATATTGACTAAGATATGATTTCAAACTCACATATGGTATAAGGCATTTGTTTATGCTGTTTCTCAACAAGACCATTAAATCATACTGTAATGAAGACTGGCAGAAGGAAAAACCAGGTCATTTATCAGACTTCCATGCTGCTAGTAGAAGTCTGATACATTATCCCAGTTTGGTGAGCTGTGACTGGTTTTACAGCTAGTTTAAAGCATGGGAAGGCTACAATCTCAGTGTTTATTGCTAGCCCCAGCAGCCTGCAAGGTATTGCAATGCAGAGTGATTCCGTACTGATCGTACTGATGGGGAATTTCCTTAAGCTGGACCAGGATAAAACAGTGTACGCATTGTGTCAGATATGTATGTGTGCACGTGGACATGCACGTCCCCTGGATATTCTTGTTTTCTCCGATGTCTTTGGGTGTCTCAGGTTAATTGCAGATGAGGGTTACAGCTGTAATCCAGGAGCACAGATATTGATCCATATTGATCCTCTGTGATTGTTAATGTCTCGAGCTGGCTGGCCAAGCTGCCGCAGTACATAAAGTTCTGAAACCTTGAAATAATTTGCTCTGCTCCAAATGCTTATTTGTAGCCAAAGGACAAGTGGGTAGAGAGACCGCATCCCACAAAGAGGATGGCAGGATAAATTGCAACATCTTCTGCCAAGCATTTGAAGAGATTAAGTGATTGTCAGAAAGATCTCTGCAGAAATGTTACAAATTGTTCTCTGCAGTTCTTCAGAACTGACTGCTGATCTAACTTGTTCTGTCTTCAGAACTAACTTGGTATCTGTCATCYACTGGTATAGCTGAGTGAAAGTGAAGGAAATGGAGCTCTTCATGGTTTTGTTGTCGTCTGTTCAGACGAGTATCAGAAGAATATTATTAATAAATTGGTGTTGCAATAAATAGTCTTATAGATTTTTTCCTTTTTTTCCTCTTCCGTGAACTATAAAGTATAATAACCCTGATTGATTTGCTTCCTAGCAATGTTTAATTTTACTTAMATGGCATAGAAAACTGCTGCAACAGATACTGAACGTTAACAATAACCCTGTAAGCAAAAGTGCCTGTTCTTGGGTACTGCTGATCCCACAAGTGGGGAATCGAGCAGAGAGCTATTTGCAAGCTCTCCAGATAATCCAGTTTATTGAAGATCACTTGTGGAAGGACCTTTTCCACTGTACTGTGGCTAAAGAAGTGAGCTGTGGAACAACCATTTTAAATGTTCTGAATTATCTGACTGCACAAGAAATCTGAGCTCTGAACTTTGGTGTTTAAGTGCTAYGAATCATTCTTACCTGCAGCATCCTGCAAGTTTCAGATTGTTCATTAGAAATAACTTTTCACTAATCACTTTGTTAATACAAATATTAATGAGGAAGAAAGTATTTCTAGCTCGCATTACTTGTTTCRTCTTTTAATTTGGGTGAAGTTAGTAAAACTGGTTCTTATTTTATGGAGCCCATCATTTCTATAAATCTTTTGTGGCTTTCATGTATTTGGAACTTTTAAACTGTATTGTGTTCTAGATCAGAAATATTCATTTTAATGCAATTCTTCTGTAAACACTGACTTTAGAATTTTTTGTAAATGTTTAATAGTCATGTGTAATGGCTTAAACAGATACTCTTAAGCATTACTTTCTTTGTGCACATTTAACATGTGAAGTACTGCCTAAATACTTAAAGAAGGGTTAAAAATATATCATTGGTTACGCAACTATTTTTGCACATATGAAGATATATGCCTGTACTAGATGTGTCCATTTTAATACAATAGTGACAGGCAACAGTTTTCTGCCCAGAGGCTTGTTGAAACTCTAGCAGCAGAACTTTCTAACCCCTTTGGGGAGAAGAGGCAGAATCATGYCTTGGCTCAGCGTTAGCTTTGCACGTGCGACCCGTGCAGCGGGGCGTCCCACTTGGTACACACAGTTACATTTGTGGTCTGCAGCTCCAGAGGGAAGCCAGGGGTCGGTCTGTCTGTCTTTTTTAAGAGGCAGAATATATTAAAGTAAGATGAATAATCTGGAGCAGGGACTGACTTAGTCATAAAGGAACATTTTTAAAGAGAGGCTTTGTTATCTAAGGGAATGGATGTTTGCTGTCAGGCTTTGTGAGGAGCCATGCTTTCATCTTGCTAGGGCTGACAACCTCTGTTATTTTGCCATGCAACAAAACTTGCAGAGATTCATATATATCATATTCTCCAAAGGCAGGATTTGATCAGCRTGACCCTCATTTCCCCACCACTAACTGCATGTATTTTCCCATTATCTTGCCTAGCCCAGTCCCAGCCAGCAGCTCAAGACTCTTTGGATGAGTTCATGACAGAAATAAAATCAGAAGGCGCCTTAGACAGCATTGCGCGGAAGAAGCTTCACTTGAGGACTTTTGAACTGAGGAAAGAGCAACAGAGACTGAAAGCTTTAATAAAGCTGGTCACACCTGCAGCACTGCCCGAGCTGAAGCCCTAGTAAGTAATGTGAAACTAAAACAGCTGTTTCTGCATAGTCTGCATGAGCAGTTGTGCAATCCCAGCCTTCTGAAAGCAAAAGCAGACATCGCCTTACAGTTTATCAGGTGTGTCTTGCTAAGAAGCCACGGTGCCTTTTGGCTGTTGCTGCACCTGTGGTGGAGGCAGACACACAACAGTGTGACAGGGCCATCCTGGAGAAGTGAGAGGGGAAGAGAACTGGGAACATAGTGTCTTTTTATTCAGCCTGCATCCTGAAGTAAATGGAGAATTTTACAGTATTATGTATAAAGTGAAACCCACTCTCGTGCCGTGAAGTGCACGTGGAAGTCAGCTGTAGTGGCTGTTCAAGTATTGCCTGGCCACACTACCTTCATTTGAGAGAGTGTATGCTGGTTTCTTCACCTGCTAGCAGCAGCTTAGTTRGTTAGAGATTTAATTAATTAAGTTGAGGTTTGGCCTCTGAGTGTGCTTTTATATTTTTGTATTTAATATATATGCACATGCACATATATACACAGATGTGTGTATGATATATACATATGTATGTGAGTATGTGTGTGAATTAATTGTAGGAAATCTGCTAGGGTAGGAACAGTTGTCAAACAAGTGTCTGCCACCTAGGACTCATCCCCTGCAACTTCCTCTTGTTTTCTGCAGTTGGGGCCTGAAGGGGGTTCTCTGTGTTCACCYTTATTTCCCATTGGAGAATAGAAGCTTTATTTGATAGTTTGTGTACTGTTTTCCTCTCTATCTGTCTTTTTTTTTAAATTAGCAGTGGAAGTTACAAGACGGATGCAGATAGCAAGCCTAAAAAGATGACCCTGCCTATGTTCGGTGCAATGAAAGGRGGGAGCAAGTTCAAGCTGAAAACTGGAAGCCTAGGGGTAAGTCGGGCACAGAGACCAGCTGCAAAGCACATTTTGTTTTCCTCTCTTGTTACTGCTGTGAGTCAGGCACTGTTTCTCAGCTGTTTCTTAGGTCCTGGAAGCTGTAGGTGGCACACAGAAGAGCAAGTGTCGGGGAGCAGAAGCTGCACAGGACAGGAAGCAGTGGGTTGCATGGAATTTGCTGTGCCCCATTCTGTGCCCTTGCCCAGTCTCCGGGGGCATAGAGTGTCAGAAAGGTGGTGGATCAGGTAGTTGCTCTCCGGGGACCTCCGACAAAAGACTGCTATGCATAAGCATCCATGCCTTCACTTTTCCATGTATGACAGTATTTTAGGTAGGATTATATCCCAGGTTGACTCATTTTTCCAGTGTCCCGCTTATCAAAAGACTGTTCTGCCCTGCAGTGGATGTACATCTATTCTATCTCTACCAAAGACTTTTTCTCAAAACCAAACTATGCTTCGTCCTAAGAGCGTTTTCTTGACAGCTGTTTCTATGACAGTAACACAGCAATGAACATCTGCAACACCTACCTCTGCATTATTCTAACACTAATGCCCAAGTTTTCATCCTGCAGAAGGTACCTGTCAAGCGTCCAGATGTTCCTGAAAACTTGTTAAAAATGAAAGATGATGGACCAGAAGAGGAGGAGGAGGAGGAAGAGGAGGAGGAGGAGGAAATGGAAGAAGAGCAAGAAGCAGATGCACTAAACAGCAGAACATCAAAACTAGAAGTGAAAAAGACAGCAGAGGAGGAAACAGGGAAAGAGATTGATGTCACTGCTTCTTCTCTCCATGATGGTAAACTATTGATTTGGATTTTTTGTATGTATTTTTTATTGAGTGAAACTGAACCTGTAACTGAATTATCATAGCTCCATGAAACCTGATCCTTTTATGTATCAGCATGATACATATGAAAACTTGGAGTCTCAGTAAATGATGTGCTTGATAGAAATCTAATTCTATCTTATTGTCTTAATTTTGGCCAAGTTGAAAAGTATGTTTTAACTAATCACAAGCTTTTAATATGGTATTGTGATGGACTTGATGGATGAAATAATTTGGAGGACTTCTGAGAGAAGATTTCTTCTTGAGATGAAAGTAGCTAAGTGTTCCCCTTTTGTACTTTCTTTCAGATTCAAATTCTACTCATGAAATTTACTGGGGGGAGTATTCACCCAGCGCTCTCTTTTTGTTTTACAGGGCTTCACGTCCTGCCTGAGCCTAAGGTACTGAGGAGTAAATCTCAGATGGGCCCCTCGCAAGAGAAATCTCCAGGTGAGCAGTACAATTTAGCCTATTTGCCAGAGCACATGGATTCAGATGCTACCTAAAGGAGCTATTGACTTCTGTTGGTATAGGAAAACTAAGCCTAATCTAGAGCCTAAAGCAAGAATCTAGAAGTTCAAATGAAGGATTGTTTTGTTTGGGCAATACTAAATGTCTGTTGGAAAAACAAGCCGCTTCAGCAGAGTTCTCCGAGTTGCAGTTCTCAGTCACCAACAGCTTTGAGATTCGTTGTTAAAAGAACTAGCATGAAAGGAGAATAAATTAYTTTAACGGTATTATGTGTATGCTACTATCTCCATATTATTTTTGTCACAGTACAAAAGGAAGTTTTGTCCTTCTGCAYCGTTAATTACTACATAACATTATCTAGCATTATATTTATGACCTGGATAGCTCTTCTATCTAGCTCCTTCTTCTGTAGGAGATCTCTTTGGGAAAAAAAAAAAAAGAGACAATCCATAACCTAAACTCTTAAGAACATCTTCTCTGTCTCATTCATAGACTTAATCATGAGTCTCACAATTTCATGGGTTAAATGGCAAAAAGGTCAGATCTTTCTGCCTCCCTCTCAGCTGTGTGTTTTGTTTTTGTTTTGGTGGGTCTTTTTTTTTTTTTAATGCCTGTTTGTCCAGTGCATTTTCTGTTATTACTGTTATCTGCTATAGTATTTGGAACTTTAGGCAAGAACATAGTAGTATAGCTGAGCATATATCGTTTTAGGAATGCTTCTTCTTATAGAAAATTACACCTACCATTAGCTAAGAACGTGTCACAGAATTGCGAATAGAGAGTCTCACCGAATGGCACTCAGCTAGTTGATCAACATGTAATAAATATAAGTTAATCTCAATAAATCCTGGAAAAACAGCAGCATGTTCAGGAAACTTAAAATGTCAATTTTGTGGCAGTAGTATTTCCTTTTTGACATATCTGTCTTTGTGAACTTTCTATCAGAAATAAGCTTATAGAGTTGGTCGTTTTCAATGTGTCATGAAAAAAACTCTTTCTTCTCAGCATCTGAGACAGTATGCAAGGAATCCGAAGAGCCATCCAAGAATGCTAAGAAAAACAGCTCGGGCAAGGTCAGTAATGATTYCTTGAAACTCTTAGAGCTACAGGAGTCATAGTGTCATTTAGTAAATTCCTTATTAAGGTAGACTAACAATTTGATTGAGTGTGATGTGCTGATGGTGGTACTTCTCAGCTCTACAAGACCCAACAGCAGAACCACCCACCACTTTCTGAATCCCTGATAAGAAGGTAAAGTCAAGTATTTCAAACTTGATAGAAGTGTGTACATATCAGCCACAATAAATCAAGAGGCTCTCAGTTCAGTCGCAGACTGATTTTGCCAACTGTTCACTTGGCAGTGCTGCTGTTAGGCCTCTGCTGATCACTTGTTTTCCTGTATCAAACGTTCTAAAGAACACAGGCACATTCTGGGCTATACCAGWAGCACTGCAAATGTTTGCTTGGGAAACATGTTTTGGCTAGTGCAGAAGAAACTGGACTAGAAAAGACAAGTATATGAAATTATTGTCTTTGGAAACACCATTGTTSTTTCATGAATGTTCCAGATGATGCCCCTACTGTGCATAGGGCTCTTGTATGTGTTTCCCTTTTTTAACGGGGCGGGGGACAGGCATTTACTTTTTCTCTGGAGATGTGAGGAAACTGCTCCAACAGCATATTGTTAGCCTAACTGATTACTGCGAGGTGTTTCCCGTTGGAAAATCAGTCTCTTGTGTTGGCTRCTGTCAAAGATTACTTCACTGAGTGGATTGTCAGTTCGGACCATCAAGACTACGAAGTTCTGACCATCAGTTTCTTTGTGGTGGCCATTGGATTTGAGAACTTAAAATTGCTGGTATGTTCTTCATGCCCCTCATTTATAGAAACTTAACTCCCTGGCAGCTGTGTGTGCTGCCTGCCTGCCTGCTGTGGTGTTAGTCCTGGCAGGGCTCCCAAGCAGAGCGTGGGCGCAGCCTTTGCACTGGTCTCTTATTGCAGGCCTAGAGCATGTTGATAAAGGAAGCGGSAGCAAATTCATACTGCTTGGGCCCAGGATTTGCCATCCCTGTGAATGTGGGAGAGCAAGGCAGTTCCTCGTGGTGAGGCAGTTGAGTCAGCACCTTTCATGAGCACAGAGCTTTCTCCAAGAATCCCAACATAGAGCATTTTCTGAATACCAGGTGGCTTAGCTGCATTCTTCCTGCTGTTACAAATAGCTTTTTCCCACATGCTGTYTCTGCATTTGGGTTCAGACCTAGCATGGAGAATACCAATCAGAAGTCAGCCAGTTGAACAGGGGTGTTTGGGGAGGATGTTTTAATATTTGARAAATAGCTTCAAATCATATGAAACTGGAGAAATTGTTTTCTTAAGTGACTATTCACAAACCATCTTTACAAACTGTTGAACTTTGCAGTGCAATGTATTCCAGAACTCTAATCTTCCAGAAGAATTCTTTTAGAGGATAACTGGGGGAAGGAAAGGTTCTGAGGGAATGAAACATCGCTTTGACCATCTACTTTAGACTGTCATGACACTGTAGAGTAATGAAAGTCTGTGGTGAATAACATGGGTATATTTGGAGCCCTTAGTACTCTTACCCGACAGCTGTATGTATGCGTGTTTTATTTATTACTCATCTGCAGTTGTTAAAAGCTGTTGAGCAAATGATGCTGCTGTGGCAACAAAAAATATGAGGACAAAAAGGCAGTGAATCAGTGACAACACTGAGACCAGATTTCTTTTTCTTTTCCTCAAGACTAAGTTACTAAGTTAATAGCTCAATTCCTGAGTACTCCAATTTGAAAATGATTTGGGGTTTAAAATTTTCAGTTGGATTGTGCTTTAGAATGATTAAATCACTTCTTTAAAATTTCTCTAAAGTTTTATCCTGTCTAAAGAAATTGGATGTTGAATGAGACTAACATAGTTTAGTATGGTAAAGTTAAACAATCCACCACTGGAGCTGGAGGGAATAAGGGAAAAGTTTTCATTGAAACAGGGAATAAACTTCTGTTATTCAGTAAAACTGTTGATCATTATATTAAATTATCTCCCTCAACTACTGTGTCCAGGCCTGGACAGACCTGATGAAGGCCATGGCAGACTTGATGTTACTGTTGATAAAGAATCTGCTTTGAGCAGGAGGTTGGCCTAGATGACCTCCAGAGGTGCCMGCCAAGCAAGACTTCTGTGGTTCTGCGATCTACTGTGAAGGAAATCCCAGGAAATGACAGTCTGTGACCATGACACAGATGAGGTGCATTACGTTAAACGTATCTTCTTCTTTTGTAGGTCCAGCCAACTTTCTTCTCCTCACAGTATCCAGATGATGACCCAGACTACTGCATATGGATCCCTCCTGCAGGTATCAAACATTTAAGGTTTAAACACTTATTCCTATTCCTCAGAAATCTAACAAGTAGAGAACAATACTGTATAAGCATGAATAACTCCTTGTAAATCAACCTTTGAAAAAATACAAATACTTTACCCAGCCCTGATATCTTCTGGTATGTTATGCCACATATTTTTTTGTATGGCTATGCAAATCTTGCAGTGAAATGCTGGCTATTTCTGTAGTGCCTTGATCTTGCAGGGCAGATGCACCTTAAGTTTATTTTTTCAGTTTTCTAACACTTCAGAGAGCTCCGTCCATTCTTTAGCCTTCAATGTTACAGCAATTTCCTAAGAAGGGAAACCATTAGAGATATGATTTATGCGCAGGGACACTCACATTAGTCAGGTACTTGCAGGGGTCCTGAATGACCTTGTAGAGACTGTAGCACAGTTTCATTTCTCRTTGTATTTCAGCCCCCTCTGACCTCTGTGTTGCAGCATATGTTTAACTCCAGAGATACTGAGGGCATCTTTCTGGTGCCTCCTTTCACATCTTGTAATACAGAGATCTGGTTTAAACAGAAACCCAAAACTTCACTAGGAATATATCCTTCAGCAATCTCAGCATTCTCAGTTTTTGTAGAAGACTATGGAACCTATAACTTTCTGTCATTTGCTTCAAAATCATTGGATTCTGGACTTTGCCATGTGTTTTGGAAAGRGGTGCTGTTAACTTTTTAGTGGAAGGTGTGGAGTAAGTGGTGTGGGCATCCACTGACTTTATTTTTTCAGTTCCAAAGTCTTTCTATTCAAGTGTTATTATTGTTAATGATGTAATGAATTTTCAGTTGCTCTGACATCCTGAATCGTGCATGTAGGTTTCCCTAATCAGTGCAAAGATTAACTTTCATTTAATAAGGCTGTTGTGGCCTTAAAACATGGCCAGGCTCTAAAGGGAGTAAGAAAATTGAGCATAAATTTCACTAGAGAAAACTATGACCTAGTAAATCCTCCTCCAAATAAAAGACTGCACTTCCGTGGCGAATGAATGAAATGGAACAAAACACCTGATTCAGTAGGTGGAGGTGGTGTGATCTGGGAGAGCCAAGCCAGTCRTGCCCGTGAGAGGGAGCTCCGGGTCCCGTCCCTGCCTGGCAATGGTCAGACCTACAGCCGGCGCAATGCGAACACCAAAGAAGAGGGAAGGGAAATGCACCCGCATACACTTACATAACAACATCATGATTTATGTTCCTTGTGCCCTTCTGGCAAGTGCTGTGTAGAGACTGTTTCATACTTTGCTACGCATTCATCTTAAATGAAAAAATATATATAACTTATTTTCTCTTTTTTCCTTAGGTCAAAGTGGTGATGGCAAGACTCATTTAAATGAAAAATATGGCTATTAAGATTCAGACTCCAGAAGATGCTCTGAGGTTTAAAGGACTGCTCTACATTGGACTCTTTTCTGCACRTCAGCTGAGATAGTCAACTGAAAAGTTGTTCTTGAGATATTATTTCAAATTCAAGGACATCAACAGCCATTGTGACTATTAGCTTTCCTTATTGCATCAGCTGTTTGTTTACCAACACCCTTTTTAAAGATTCCTGACCCTTACCCACCTGTTCTGCCTTTTCCTTCCACTTTTAACCATGCCCTTTTCACTTGCTGTGGACATGTAGACTCATTTTTTTTTTTTTTTTTTTTTATGGAAAATTATACAAAGATAGTTAAAGAAAAACACCCTTTGTGTATCTGTGGGCTTGATTAAAATTTATTTATGCTGGTGTCATGGAATTAAAACAAGAAGCACGATGTTTTGCTCAGTTGCTCCTACTTGAAAATAATAGGGCAAACAGCCTAATATTCATATTTTTGATTGAAAACCTTTAAAAAAAAACCCCAGCTCTTTACCCTCCTCCTACATGTAGGTTTTAAAAGCAGGTGCTAGAACACTAAATATCAAGTGGACTTGGAAAGATAATATTGTGTTGCAAGARTGTAAAAAATCTGGAGAGCTGAAGAGAATATTTTTTCTTGTCTTAAATAAGAAGGTAACAGAAGATACAATGAAAGGATATCCTGGAAAAAAAAAACTTCTAATTAAGTCTGTTCTTCCCCTGCTTCAAGGCAAGGACAATGGAGCCTTTTTTGCAGTTTCTACAATAGACTTATCTGTCTATTTCAGCTATGACCTTCTTCATTCTAACCTCTAACACCATTTGGTGATAAAGTAAGGTTCAGAGAGCAATTAGGTGTTTTTATGAAATGGTAACAAGAACACCCAAACCAGGTGTGACGGGTGTGCTCCTTCCCCAGCTCAACCTGGCTTTTCACAGGTAGTCCTATTCAGGTGTTAACCACCAGTGACATTAGCTGATCCTTGTGGCTGCCTCCCTGATTTCTTTCCCCACTTGGGCATTAACCAGTAATAACAGTCCTGATGGCTGCATCCTGATGGGGAGGTAAAGCTAATTGTGTGTACCCCAGCCATTCACCTGAAATGAAAGAATGACTCTAAGTCAATCATCTTATCCCATAAATATGGGGACAGTCCAGGTGCCYGTTGAGCTCTCCTTGCATGACAGYGGGCTCCACACCAGGATCACCTCTTCAGCAGGGACACCTCTCAAGGGTTCTCCTCGAGGTTAAGAGATTCTTGCCAGATTCTCACAGATTTGTGGTGACTATAACGCTCTCTCKTTTTGAACTTGTAAATTTTACTGTGCACAAAATCCCTTAGTCATAAAGTACTGACCAGGTCTGGGAGTAGGACTGGATCCAGTCACACCCAGATTCCTCTCAGAAGAGTTTGGAAAGCAAGGGGGTCCAATTTGAACCCTGTGACTCAATGGGGAGGTCTCCTTGGTAATTCTGTGTATATCTTGAACCCCCATGCAGTAAATAATAAGTGACCTTRCCGTAGAATCTCGTGAAACCATTGTCTATATCAATAAAACTCATTACTGTTTCTTTCACGTGAGCGCAGTGCGTTGTGTCACTCACTTCCATCATCGCTTGTCCCATGACACCAGGGCTGAAAACTTTTTTTGAAAAAATCTAAATCTCTGTCTTGCTACTGCATTGACTTCAAGATGCTCCTGTTTTGGGAGGAGAGCAATACACGTTCTCTAATACAAATTCACCACCCCTCTTCTGGATGCTTACTGCACCTATAGGACATTTTCACAGGATCTTCAAAACTTCATATTCCATTGTTGCTTTATCAGAAAGCTGTGATAAACTGAAAAGCAAAAGTTAGAAGGAGCCTGAGAAATGTGCCTGCTTGCTTCCCTTAGGATGTTCAGGGCAATTTTGGAAATGACCTTATGAGGACCTTGCACGCAGTGCAGTGCGCTGCTTTCCTTGGCCACGGGAAGGAATGAATCGGAGGCCCCAGAAAGGCCAAGTTGCTTTTTAGACAGTGGGACAACATGTTCCTGGGTTCTGCCGTGGTAGAAATGCAGGTAGAAATGCAGGTAGAAATGCAAAGGACCATTGCCAAGGGCCAGCTTTGGCACTCAGTGCATCAGAGCCCAGAACTGGTGTAAAACCTATATAGTGATGATGGGCTCCCCTTCCTCCTCTCTGGCTGCTGAAGGCTGAAGTTGGCTGCTGAAAGCACACATGCCCCTGCTGCAGAGGCACCATCTTCTGTCCCCATAGCCGTGTGCACTGCCCCATCAGTGGGAAAGAGCAGTTTGCACCTCAGGGTCCTCGTGGCTCCTGAACCCCCCTGCCAACACGTTCGTTGTGATGCAGAATTTGCCTGTCTCCCCTAACGAGCAGTCGTCACTGCAGCAGCGTTTTCTGTTTCGCTGGGCAGGGAGGCCAGGCCCCTGAGCTATGAGCAGCACCAGCTCTTCTGTGCCCTCCTTCCCACTGCTCTCTCTGCTGTACGTGATGATGATCACGGCCTTTCTGCTGCGCACACCYGCGAGCCATCAGGGTCCAGCAGCACAGAGCCGCTCGTGGGTGCCTGTGTTTCTGCTCTACTCCAAGTGATGCTTAGCACAACATACACTTTCKGACCCAGAGGCCCACTGGCCAGTTCCTCTGGTGCATGTTTTTTCATTTTTCGGGATCCCTAGGGGCCTGGTGATTTTGACCCAGGCACCATAGCGTTTCCTTTCTACTTTCAAAACCACAGGTTGGAGGAAATAACCTCCAGATGGAGCTCCTGATGCATAGATTTTACTGCATCCCATGTCTTTTCCATCCTCAGGAAAGGAATCAATGTAATTTAGGGCATGGTGCCCCCAAAACTGTCTCCTCTTACTTAGCTAAGGAAAACTGAAGCTACATTCGTGCATATAACATTGCACTTTCTAGAGTGGAAAAGAGCTTTCAGATCAACCTATTTGGTTGTTTCCTTGTTGAACCGAGTTTACAGCACTGTCAGAAAGCACAGGGCCCAGAGAGTTGTTAATAAATATACTCTCCTGCAGCTAGTGTGCAGAGCTTGCATCCGTGYCCAAGACGCAATTGTTTAAGGCTGCTATTTCCTGTGCAGAGCATGCGATTACTTGGTATGTTCTTTGCAACATGTGTTTACCTCATTATCATCCTTACTTTCCCCTGCCATGAAACTTCCAGCTCTGTATTCACCTAATAAATACTCTTAAATTTATAGGGCATCAGTGCTCTAAGGCCCACAAGCACCTAATATTTGGGCAGCTGGCTGCAAGATATTTTGGTTTGCAGTTCTACAAGTAAAGCAATATGTATTTTGATACCAGTAGAGCAGCACATTCTAGGGCACAGCTTATACATACACACATAGAGTGGCTGTTAAAATGACATGAGGGCTTTCTCTTTTTCTATTTTTTTTTTTACATTCTGATAATAAAGTGTTGTCTTAGGATCCCTCAATTTCATTTTCAGAATGAAAGTGAGGAAAGATGTCAGAGGTGCTCCATAAGTTAAAGGAAAAGCTTATATGTCAGCCTACTTTGCTTAATTGTGCTTTTAAATTGTGGAAGTGGTTTTCTGATTATGCAGCTGTGTGGATGTATGTGCAGGTGTATGCACAGTTTCAAACATGAATATATCGCTTTGTTTCTCTGCTTTGACCTGTTAAACCACTTGAAACTCAAGTTTATGCTTTTGCTGGATGCAGTCTGCTGAAACTGCAGTCTTAGGGCTTTTTAAGAGCCTTGTCTGTTTATGCTGAGTACCTGTTTCAAATCCAGTTTCTCATTAACACCTAGAAATGAGTTTGGCCTGCTAAGAATAGCATATGATATGAATCCATCTGGCCGATGATTACTCAGAGGAAGTCTCATTGAGATTAGGMTGTGGAACAGCAGGTCAAAACTCATCTGCACTGACCGAGCTGATGMAGAGAGCCTAGACAGCTCATCAGCCCCCCTGACTCCAGGCAAAAACACCAATCCTCCCCTTTTGTAGGGAGGATCATGTTTCTACTCATATATATATAAATATAATTGTCTTACTGAAGTCTTGACCATATGGTCAGTATCTAATATGTGCAGTTCTTTGGTTTAAATGTAACACATGGACTCTGACAAAACATAATGTCCATACGAACTGCAAAATCTTCATACATCTTTATGCTGAGGAGGTTTTTAAGAGCAAGCCTCTGTCATAAAGATAGAGTGGATTCGAGGCAGCTCTAGAGAGAAAGTTYTAGTGAATAAATTGTTACACTTCCTTCTGTCTGGCAGTTGATTATTTTCCCTCCACACAGAAGGCAGAGARTAGCAGACACCTGAAGCCTTCCCTTGAAAACAGCTTTTCCTGCTTTAATTTGATCTTGTATTGTCTTTCCCACCAGACTCAGACTAGCTTGCTTTGTTTCTGCTGGCCTTCCTCTGTCCTGCCATTATTTCTCCTGTTTTTAGAGCTCACTTCAATCTTCATTGCTCCCTGTGAGGCACAATCACATTGTGCTGAGCCAGTTCCTCTGCTAATCTTCATCCTCCGGTGCACCCACAACTCAACCATCCTCCCAAACTTCCTTGGTATTTCTGTCTTGCTCCTGCATTGAACAACCAGTTTTTCAGGGAGCTGAACTTAACCCAAAACCAGTCTGGACCATGGTTGTCTCTCTTCTTCTTTCCCTCAGGTACTGATCTTGAATTTCTGCTTTGAAGTTTTGTTGAGCTTGAATAGGACCTTCAATCCTGGTGGAAACCGAATCAKTTTTTTTGTAGTTGTTGGGTGCCTGCCTTTCAGCCACTCCTTTTCTTTGGAGATGTTCTACTGAAGAGCTACCAAGCACAAAATGGCAAAGCAAAGTAGGTCCTATCTCTGGCTAAGCCGGGTTCTGCCTGGCTCAGCTCCAGGCCCAAACTGATCATGCACGTTGGCATCCCACCCCTGCCAGCTGCAAGGGCTGGCTCCCAGACCGTAAGCTGTTCTGCTCAGGGGGTATCTTTGCCCTTTGGAGCAAGCTGCCGGACACTGAGCTGGCAGCCCAGAGCGGCGGGTGCCAGGCAGCCGGGAGAGCTGGTGGGACCAGAACCTCTCCCTCTCTGTTCTCCCCAACTGGAGCAGAGCCGGGGAAGTGCTCAGATCTGCTCTCAGGAACCCCGGTTAGCAAAGGGCAGAGCTGTCGGCTCGTGACTAAACAGGGATGACGTCTCTTTGAAAAAGAAAAAGGAATATTGATGTGAAATCTTCATAATTTACTCATTCATCTCTTTATTCCCCAAATATAAACTACCACCTCCATTCTCTTTACACCTCTTCAAGGAAACACAATCCAGGCTTTTCCGTAACAGCCAGCCAATAACATCCTGATGGCTTTACACACTGGAGTGTGTAATTATACTGGGGTCGGTGGGGGAACGATGATTTGTTTTCCAGCATTGAAAGCGCAGCTGTAAGTACCCAGACCTTTTCTTTTTTGTGCTTCCTCCTGAAACAACTCTCTTGGCTTCTCAGGTGTGTCTCACCACAAAACAGACAAAACCGTTTTATCTCTCCAAATTAGCAGATTTGCCTGAGAACTGTCATCTGCTCTTGTGAAGCAGGCGTACGAGGAAACGTACCGTGAAGCGTTGATGATCTGCAGATTCTCTGCTGTTGTTCAAATTATGTAGATAAGTATTAAACGGTTTAGGCTCAGGCCCAAGCAAAATCAACTACTGAGCTTTTATCCTGACTCACTTGCAACCTCCTGGCTTTCTCACAGCTGCCCATATCTTTCATATTGCTGCCCATTTGCCCACCAGTAAAACGTGATTAACTTCATAGAAACACAGAAGCACTTAGTAAATTGCATTTAGATCTCTCTCAAACACACTGGCAAACTCTCCTCTCCCTTGCTGGGTCTAGGACTTCACTGTGTTAGTGAAGAGCTTTGGTAGCCTGGTTTGAAAGGTGTCCTGCTTCCCTGGAGCTGTGGGAGATACCCAGGCTGGGAGGCAGGCAGGGAGTGTGACTGGATCTCTCTTGTGTAGGAAAAGGACGAATTTGAACAACTCCTGTCCACAGAAAACCTTTCTATATACTTGGGTGGGCC